CTGATAAGGTCTGTAAAGAGAGTTACTGCTAATTCCGTTGAGCGATTGGGGCGAAAACCAAACTGATGTTCAGAGAGAAAACCGTTGAATTCGAGATGTTTCATTAATTGTTTGTGCACCATTTTCTCTAAAATCTTGGACAGAGTAGGGAGAATTGATATTGGTCTATAGTTGTCAATTTCTGCCATGGAACCAGACTTAAAGATGGGAATCACCTTGGCTATTTTCCATTCAGTAGGGACTACTCCAGTTTCAAGGGATAAGTTAATTATAAATGTTAAAGGCTTTGCGATGACTCCTGCGGCATCTTTAAGTGTATTCTGTACCTGCCAAATTTCATGTTTCACCTTAATTTGTACCAGATCTGCTTGATTTACTTGATGATTTAAGCCATAAACTGAATCCTTTACCATAGTCTTAAATTTAAACTTAAGTTTAACTTAAGCTACTTAAACATAAGCTTACCTCACAAGATCTGCGCCAGATTTTTCAAGACTTCCCCCATGGCACGTGTGAGAATTTTTAGTTCATGAATAAAGCCAAGTGTTGACGAGTAAGTAAAAGAACTGCTGAAGCTCAAATCCGAGTTCTAGAAGTCTAATGATGTTACTTTTGATCTAATTTACTACACACGCGTTCTGTCTGGCCAATATTCCGTCGCCATTTCGCCATATTGGTTTCGTTTCGGTTAGAACCCAGTCTCTCGATTGGCGCGTGCCTCTCGAGCGCGGGCTTTCGCAGCACTCGTAAAACGCTCAATGCAATGGTCCTCAATAGACTCAGGAGAAAAATGGTTTTCATGCCTATTACTTGTTCATGAACTTTCGCGGTTTATGGGTGAGGTAAATAGTAAATATTACTTCTAACAGTGACAAGTACTCTGAACTGAGTAATGAAACCAGCACAGTGTGGAATGTGAGTGCTGAAACCCATCTGAGATTATGGAACGCAAAATATGATTCGCGCATGCCCAGGAATCGAAGAACGATCTTTAATGTGAAAGTAATCCACTACCCTTACAATTGTGAGCCTTTAAGTAAAATAGGCAGGCTATCTCTCATTAACATTGAATTGAACCTATTCCAGGAGCTAGAGTCCGCGGTTCATTCAGTCAGACGGCTAAACCATGATGATTGGTTTGCATTATGTTGGTTTGTCGCTGTGGACTTGCTGATATTTTATGTTTTGATGATCCCTAATAAGGACGCCCTTAGGTCGAGACCGGGTGATATGGCTTTGCTCATGCGTTAGGTACTGCCCAGGAACGCAACTAGATACCTTCTGATCTTTTCCAGCAACGGGGTAGTTCCATCGAAATAATTGTACCATCGCGTGTGATACTCGCGCGCAATTTTGATGAGGGCGCCGCACAAAGAATAAACAAACAAAATAGTGTTGGAAATTACTTTTATGGGAGGTGAATAAATTCCATTTTCTGTCATTATTTTCAGGAGAACCTTAAGCAACGACGTTTTTGAGCGACGCACGTCAACCGGAAGTAGACTTTTCGCACTCTTGGCCGTGATTTTGAACAAATTTGGGAGCAAATTGTTTCTTTAAGAGTAAAAACACTTAGCAATACAAATTTGGTGGTGCCAAGGCATATTATATAGAAAAAGGCTTACTTCTGGTTGACAAGCGTCGCTCAAAAACGTCGCTGCTTAAACACCCTATTAACTTCGAATGTGATAACTATGAATGGGACTCCGATTATAGTAATCACCGGAATGAGATTGTTATTGTTTTTGACTTGTATGAAGGACACGGGGGCGTGATTTTTTGAATAAAAATTGACGTTCATCCCTAAAGGTTTGACAATTAGGTGTAAAAAGAGGACAAAGCGACATATTGAGTTAGGAGAATTCTCCCTGCCCAACCCCTGCCGTGGTTTCATAAGGACAAGATGTAAAAAGCCCAGTTTATCTAATACGCTTTTCTCTAATATGTTTGCTCATCTCGTTTTCCTTACTTTCTGAAAAATATTTAAGGGTTTTTCTCTCCTCTCTACCATTAATGCGGCCTGGCACCGGGAGGCTGAGACCGCAATACAAGGAACTAAGATCTGAAGAGGGTGTAGATTGAGAAACCATTGGTTGACTATAGTCTTATGTTCTCATAAAAACAGGCAAATATCAAGAAAGCACTTTCATTTAATTAATAAGCAATATAGGATGTGTATTTACAGACTGAAGTAATAAAAAATACNTCAAAAACGTCGCTGCTTAAACACCCTATTAACTTCGAATGTGATAACTATGAATGGGACTCCGATTATAGTAATCACCGGAATGAGATTGTTATTGTTTTTGACTTGTATGAAGGACACGGGGGCGTGATTTTTTGAATAAAAATTGACGTTCATCCCTAAAGGTTTGACAATTAGGTGTAAAAAGAGGACAAAGCGACATATTGAGTTAGGAGAATTCTCCCTGCCCAACCCCTGCCGTGGTTTCATAAGGACAAGATGTAAAAAGCCCAGTTTATCTAATACGCTTTTCTCTAATATGTTTGCTCATCTCGTTTTCCTTACTTTCTGAAAAATATTTAAGGGTTTTTCTCTCCTCTCTACCATTAATGCGGCCTGGCACCGGGAGGCTGAGACCGCAATACAAGGAACTAAGATCTGAAGAGGGTGTAGATTGAGAAACCATTGGTTGACTATAGTCTTATGTTCTCATAAAAACAGGCAAATATCAAGAAAGCACTTTCATTTAATTAATAAGCAATATAGGATGTGTATTTACAGACTGAAGTAATAAAAAATACCAGCAAGTAATGGAAAGATCTGACTGAAAACAGGCAAACCAACCAATTAATCCTCTAACTACCATAGCGACAATTAGCTAGAGACGGTTTTATCTCCGGCACGCATGGTTCGTACAACTCCAGACAAACACATTTCCAAGGACTTTTCAAGGATTTTTGAAGGACAAATTTCAGTTTTCAAGGACTAAGATTTATTTAATAAATCGACATAACCCCCCCTGACCACCTTATTGGCAAAAACACGTCATGGAACCATTTACCTATTTTACTTCTTCGGCCATCATGGATCACGATATTTTTACTACTTTTCCGCAACGAGGCTTTGCAAAATGACTGTGTATGACTAAGTTGCAATTGCATCTGAGGTACAGAAATAGCATTTGAAATAAAGAAACAGAAATAAAATATTATTCATGCACAAAATGTCTTTACGTTACCCGTCAGGTTTACAGGTTCTTACACCGAGGATGAGCCAAATTTTCAATGGCAAAATAATCTAATTTAACAGAAAAAAGTTGTCTGGCGTAAACAAGGTTGTGAATTTCAAGGACTTTTCAAGACAAGACCTAATAAAGAAATTAAGTACTTTTCAAGGACCTAAACCGAATTCAAGGACTTTTCAAGACGACTAGTAAAATTCAAGACCTTTTCAAGATTGTACGAAATATGGGCACAGAAACAGACCTCATTCATTATTTCACTACGATGCCCATCATCTTTGCATGCGCTTTACTGCCGTAAGGATTGATCGGATAACAGCAATGTCACGTGGTATTTCAGGGGGTAAAACGTTCGAGTTTGTTTATTCTCTCAAAACCAAACGATGATGCAAAATGCACGGTTCGAGTTTCGTCAAGTTTTACGTCATTATTGATTGCTGTGTTGACATCTGGGTGCCTAACCCTAACTTAACAATACTAAAACAATTGAAAGAATGGCATGTCATTGTTTTCTGCGACCAATTGGGAGAGAGCCTCCGAGCAGCTCCTACACTCCTCCTTTTGTCCTGTGACCTGTGATCATGTGTTCTGTACCTGCCACATCTACAGTCGCCACTGCATCCAAAGAAGTAACAATGATCATTTCCACCCATAATTTGCCATTATCGTCTTTAAGATGAAAAATTATAAATTTTCTGCGATCACGCGACCGCGACCCTGAGAAACCACGTGACGTCGCTTTAACCCCGCCAGTCCTTAACCACGTGTAAAGATAGCAGGTTTTGTGAATTACTTTGTTGCACGCTTTTTTAGTAATTCCGAAAATAGAGACCTATGTATGCTGTTCAACCTGCAGTATTTATTTAACATTTAATTAAGCGGTTTACGCTACTCGATACTGTCAAACAAAGGATCGTGGAACAGAAAATTACAAAATGACTTGAAATCCACTAAAATGCGACATCGTTCCTACGGGGCTCGATCTTAATTTTCAGTTCAATGGCAAAGCTTTGCTTGTAAAATTTTTTCTACTAGCAAAAGCAGTAAATTCACAGGCTATAGGTTGTCTTCGAGGCCGAGAACCATCCCAAAAATGTGGGGTTTCTTAGACAGTCTAGAAGGATAAAGCTGAAAAAGCCGGATTACTCACCTAGTGGAACCGAGTGTAAATCACGGTGCCGGGCTAAAATGTACATTGTAATGTTGTAAATAACACAAATGAGCAGTGGCTGAAATGCCACCCGTTCCTCTCGTACAATCAGTCAATGTATGCATTGTTTTTTAGCCAAAAAATGGTAAAGATTCTTCAACAACGATCATCTTCTCTCTCAAATTTCCACTCGCGAAATGCTTACTCGCCAATTTTTGCTACAGGATTTTCTTTCCAGCCCTGTAATCCTGGGAGGCCTGCTTTGCGGAAGTGGTGACACACGATTCTTGAACGCTTCCGAGTTTTCTTCTGTTTTGGGGAAGTGGATTTATCATTTTCTGTTCCAGTTCGCCACTCGAAGACTAATTTAATGAGCACCACGACTCTCTCGACTCTTTCAGTTAAAACGCAATTGGCCATTTCCGAGTTCCAAAAACTCTCACTTTCTAAACGAGGCCAAGTTCAAAACGTTTCTTGTGAAAATGAAGTTTATTTGTATGAGAATAAAAAATCATTTTCATATCAATGGCTTCGCACTTAGCCTCGCTTTGAAACAGAGGCTTGAGGCAACTGGAAAATGGCCGATTGAAGACAAAAATCTAAAAATAGTCAAAATAACCTTAGGAGCAGAAACTGCCGTTTTTAGAATCTAGTGTTTTATAAGGCTGCACAGTTCTTAAGATTGCTGTTTAAATGGCACAGTAATTTACATGCAGGAACATTTCTTTCTTCTTCGAGACTCTGATGCCCTTTCATGGGTCTACAAAATAAAAACACAAACACAATCACACACAGCGTAGTTAACTACACGCAAATAAGGAAATACTCCGTTAAAAAGGTCTTTAAGCTTAAGTATTTCCAGCCGTAAGTTTAAAGATGCACTCAGCTACGTCGGAAGGAAAGATATTATATGGAAGAATTTCGTTGCAGTATTTCAGGATTTTAGGGGAATGAATTCAGTGTTCAGTGTTGGAAATCATTGTAAGACTTGCAATGTAGAGGCCTTACTATAAACAAAAGCTTTCGAGTGTGTTTGATTATCTCCGGCGGACAGAAACACTAAAAGTCTTAATAATATTTTCGTTTAGGATGAAATACAGTAAAATAAAGTAAATAAATTTAAACAAAGTTAAACTCCCTTAAAAAATACAAAACAATACTTAAAACCATCCACCTCCTTGAGGTAAATTTGGACGTGTACACGTTTCAAGGCCTTCATTTAGGTACAATGGGATTACAGAACATAAACAAAGGATATTTTAAGTGAGCAACGAAAAAAGGGGTGCCGGGTTGACAAAAACTTTGACAAGATGTACTAAATTCAAAACAGGCCGCGCGTACCGACTGTGTAGATCATTTAATCAATACTTGGCCTAATAAGAAGTACAGTGTCTGATGGGAAAATTCAGCCGGGAACGGAGTTCTGCTGAAGGGGTGAGATAATTACAAGGTGTGAAACCCTTATATTAGTGACTGGACTTATCATCGGAGTTACGAGAACAAAGCGAACTCCTTTTTTAAATCATAGATATGGTGTGTGTTTCTAATTTATCTGTTGATCTACCAAATGTTAAACAAAACTTTTTTTCAAAAGTCAATAGGTCTGCTTGGCACAAAATGTCAGTGATATCTTCCCTAAAAAGCTTAAAAAGGGAATCTATTTTTTCCAAGGCAAAAGTCTCTATTGGCTAGTCTGTTCCAAGCATTCATATAGTGGGATAGCCTGAAATTCATCCGATTGCTTCGAGTCGTTTTCTCCTCTCAACAACACTGAGGGAGTAATAACGACTCGAAGTAATCGGATGAAATTCAGGCTAATAGTAGGAAAACATTCTACTTTTGGCCTAAAATCAATTGAGTGCGACCTGCGAGAGAACAGCAGCCAATTTTTGTCTGTAGTTTATTTTTAACAGAACCCGAAATCAATTTAGTTCAAGGGAAACAGAAACTTAGATGAAACAGAACAAAGATAAAATGAATGAACTTAAACAAAAGAAGTGGATAACTAACCTGCTTCAGTTCCACCTCTGATTCAGATGATGAATCAGAAAAGAGATCAGGCGATCCAGGTGAAAGCAAGCGGTTCCTTGGAATAGCCTGCAACAATAAAATAAAACTATTCTTAATTCCCGGGTTCTCAATTTAAAACCTTTTAACGTAACTGCCAAGATTAACTACTGCCAACTCGGAAATCTTCAGTAAAAGACGCTAATTAACGAAGGCTCCAAAGTGTGTTTGATTATCTCTGACGGACAGAAAATAAAACTAAATAAAGTAAATAATGCATTAGTTAACTACAACCCCGGCCCCCCGACCCCAGCGGCATGGCGGGAGATAGCGGGGATTTAACGCGGCCAATGCCGGGATTTAACGCACATTTAACATGTTCGCCCCGGTACCTGTTTTACCCATCTCATCAGCGGGGATCAAACAGTAATACGAATTTTCGGAAGCGGGAATTTAACATGAGTGACCAAAGGAAAAGCCTCGTTTCCCAAAGTTTGTATGGCGGCAGAAGAGAGATGATGCCGCAGAGAATGATAATATTAAAAGATAGGAGAAACAAGGCAGGAAGGCCCAAAACAGGTTGCTTTAGTGTCAGACAGAGAAAGAAAGTATATAGAACGTCCTACACATTGGTCGAGCGTTGCCTTACAACGACTTCAAAAAATTAGGGTGGCTCCCATTTTATGACGAAGCTAAAGTCAATAAGTGTTCGCTAGTCCTTAAGCGCCTTCAAGGAAACTGCCCAAGCTACATGTATGACCTTCTTAAATGCAATGCAGATTTACACACACGCAGTGGGCGGTAGAGTGCCTTAAACCTCGTCTGCCCCAGATATAATCGTGAATCTGAGGGAGGGAGAACTTTTAGCGTGTCCGCGACCAGGCTCTGGAACTCTCTGCCCATTAACAAACATGTGTAACCTCATTTAGAAAGGCTATTTATAGTCACTTTTTAACGAGATACAATGACGTTGATCATTTTAGCTTAAGTGAAACTTAATTTTATTTCTTAGTTTTATGCTAATCCGGCATTTCACAACCTTCCTCTCGCTTGACCCATCTTAACTGCATTCTTATTGTAATTATAGTTTGTAGATATTCATTGTAAGGATATTTTAATTGTAATATAGTTTTTACTCTTTTTAATGTTATTCATATATATATTTATAGTTCTTTTTCTTTAACGATATGTATTTTGTTACTTAATTTTTGTTTTACAATTTAGTTTGAGGGCCACTAGTTATTCAGTTGAAGTACTGTCCCGTGTTACCCTCGTTAAATAAAGTTGATTATTATTATTATTATTTAAGTCTCATTTGTTCACCTCGTACGTAAACGACGATAAATTAATCCCAAAAGCGCTAAGTTTCCCGGTTCCTCTCCCATTACTTTCACGATTAGAAAAGTGGAGAAAGACAGAGCTGTTTCGCATCCCAGAGGGTACTCCGGGTAATTCTCGGTGGGGGTGTGCCGCCTAGTTCTCCAAATCCTGACCCTATTTCAGACCAAAAAGTGTCATTTTCCACACCTTTTTTCACACCTGACCTCTAAAATCCACACCCGTTTTCAGCCCTGACATTTAGGCAGAAATTATGTCAGAAATACAGTTAACCGGCGCTTTATAGCGGACACTGTCGGGACCTCAAATTAGTGTCCTCATTAGCGAGAGTCCGTAAGAGCGGGAGTTTATTTAAGTCAAACGTCTGTAATATGTTTTGCCGGGGAATTTAGCTGCTGTCTGTATTATCGGGGTGTTCGCAAGGCGAGAGTTGACTGTACCTAAATGGCCTGTATAAGGAAGTACCCCTGCCCCGCCGGTTTCGCTTAAGATCCCTCGCCCTTACAAGTATACCATACAGAAGTTACTTTTTCGTAAGCCATCTAATCACATTTTTCGACAGTGGCTTTAGAGGTCCGTTCTCAGGAATTAGGTAAGAAAAACATCCTCTGGCACCCAGGGCAACATTTTTCATGAATTTGAAGGAACGCAATCGAGAGTTTCTATTAACAGGTCCGATGGTTTGAAGTTTCAGAAATACAGAATACCAGATCGGACAGGGCGGTTGAAATCGAGCCTAGAACTACACTTTACCAATTCCCTGCTATACGGGGCTTTTAACAAACTACTTGGCCCGGGGAGCGGGGAAATTAGCGGTGTTAATGTTAAATTCCCCGCTAAGTCCCGGGGGTCGGGGGGCCGGAGTTTCAAATGACTGATGCATAAACTTAAACAAGCGAAGCTGGTGACTAACCTGTTCCTGTTCAATCTCTTTTTTAGATGATAAATAAGCTTATTATTTTAACTGTAACCCATATGTAAGAACCTGCCTGATCTCGTTTGGCCAACCTGGTTCTTATATTATTAGGTATTAAAGAAGCAAATTTCTGCCAGCAGGTTATTAAGCCACTAGGTTCTTACACGCGGGTATTTACTGTATTACAAACTAACTCAATATCACCAACTCGGAAATCCTCCGTAATGGAGACTTATAAACGAAGGCTCTTGAGCGTCTTTGATTATCTCTGACGGACAGAAAACCCCTAAATTGAACTGTTCACACAAACGCTGAAAGTCTTACTAAATATTTAATAAATAAACTTTCACAAAAATAGTTGAGTGATGACTAACCTGCTCCTGTTCATGCGTCGATTCAGGTGATGAATTACGAAAAAGGCGAGGGTACCGACTTTTCCAGTAGTTCTCTGATGGCCATTCATGTTCAGGTTTGAGGTTTCCTTTATGATCCTGCAACAAAATACAAAACAATACTCAGCAAAACTACTCATCTCCATCAGTTTTAGTAAAGTAGGTGGACGTGTACACATTTCAAAACCTTCATTTTAAGTCCCATGCGATTACAGTGACCAACGAAAGACAATTGTTACTATGAAAACAACTTTGACAAGATGTACTAAGTTCAAAAAAGGCCTCGCGTGCCGAAAGCAAAGATCAACAGTCAAAACTTGGCCTAAATAATAAAAGGCAGTTAATGACTGCATGTGGCTACTGTTTTAGTTTTGTAGAATATATTGCAATAAAAAAGAAATGAAAATTGTAGGAAACGATAGAAATTCAGATTGTTTATCCATGAATATACTATCTTTGTTCTAGAAGGTATATATTTAACAAACAACAACAACAAAACAAATAAGCAAACAAAACAAAAAAGAAACCGAAAGAAAAAGGAGAAAGACAGGGAAAAAAGAAAGGGTACTAAGCAGGATTCGAAGCCGGCACCTTGTCAAAAATTATACGAGCACAAGGTTAATGTGTTAACAACAACTGACAAACTTATTTGCTGAGAGAAGGTTTTCCTAGCGAAGATTTTGACTTCTCTTGCGTGATCATAAGGGATGTGGGGGAGGACCCTCTCTCTCCCGCGTTGCGTGACATGGAGAGAGAGAGAGAGAGAGGCCAGAACAGCACTAGACACACGGTGGTCACGCCTTCTTTGTGTGGTATGCGGTTGGTGTAGAGGTGAAGCGCTGAAGGTCAAAAACTTCCTTTACGACTAAGTTCAAGAAACGAGTGTTACCCGTCGCCAATTTTTAAACCAATTTTAGGGAGGAGGGAGACTTACCCCCCTGTACCTCTCCCCCCTCGGCGGCATTGGAAAGAGAAACACAAGGCGCACGTACAAGAAATTCGCATTCAAAATAGTGGAATCAAAATCAAAATTAGCAAATCCTTTTTTTTTTCTTTTGAAAATACATTCAGCCTTACAAAATTCGCTGATCACAGTGATTTTTTTTCGGGCGGGAATTTGTTACGTAATGAAACGAAAGGCGGGAAAATGTCATCACGTGAAAAATCATCCGAGGTGGATTTAACCAATCAGCTGCCGCCACGTCACCAGGCTTTGAATGACATCGTTTGTTGTTTTTGTAGTTTGTTCAGTTCGCTCTTCAACGGCAAACTGTTCAGGATGAACTCAAAATTGAATAAGAAAACATCAAGGAAATGTTACATAAGACAGGGATTCATCTCTTTTTCCTCAGGGATATGCTAAGGAGTTGTTCGAAGCTCAAGGAAACATCATTTATAAGGATATTTCACGAAAGCCCAAAGCTCCGCAGGATTTGATTTGTATGGCGAGTGTTCTTTGAAAATTGAAAACAAGCTCATGCTATTTACGCGATGAAAATCATGCAATGGACACTTATGCTATACAGTGGAGAACAGCGAAGTGTTTACCTGTAAGGAAAATTTTTTTGGTGTTGCTTTCAACCGTTGTCTCAAAGATACAATTTTTTTGTGCGGGTTGTTATTTCAAAAACCAACGCTTCACCGAACTGCAAGGACCAGTATTTACCAAAGGAACGCTCAAGAACTAACAAAAGAACAGCTATAAAAGACTTGTTTGTTTTTTGGACTTTCAAAGGAACTTCACTTGACTTAAACTGATTTTATAGGAGCCCTGGACGATAAATGTGAAACTGTGAGTTCAATGTGTTTACTCTTTGCTCATTTGTTTGAATTGAACATGAACTGAACATCTTTCATTTGCTTTTATGATTGTTGTTTGTTATTTTATGAAAAGGTATGAATTAAAACTGATTCAGAAATTAATACTGTGGAAATTATGTGCTTTTGTTTTGCTAAAAGTTCTTGTTTTTACCCAATAATATCATCTTATGGCTGCTTGAAGATACGAAATTTCTCCTTTTGTGTTCAACTCCATGTTTTAATATCAGCTAAAGTTACTTGTTCTTAACGTTCTCAGTGAAAACATTTTATGGAGTTAGTTTAATCAGTTGAAAGAAATGAATTTGAAATGATTCTTTGAATCTGCTAAAGTTTGTGATTTGATTTCAAAAGCAAATCTCGTTTTTTGTCGAGTATAAAAATGACAAAGAAAGGAAAATGGCGAAAGGCAAGAGCTGAGTAGAAATAAACTGTAAACAAAGAATAAAGAAACAAATTGCGATAAAATTGGAAAACTTACGTGGTAGGATGACCACAGTCTAGTGTTGTTTCCGTGCTGCTGTACAGCTGATGTGAGATTCATCACCTGCTGTGGAGTCATCTTCACAGATTGAAGATCCAGTGTCTCCAGGTGAGGAGCGCAGCTGAGATGTTTTATCAAGCTGTCGACTCCTTCACCCAGAAGAGGATTCTCTGACATGTTGAGCCACTTCAAGTTTGGAAGATCTTGTTTGAATACTCTGTTGATAAACTCCACAGCAGGTGATGATGTTACATTAATATAAGAGAGTGCTAATCTCTCCAGTTTGTGTGTTATTGGGATGCTCCTCAGTAGAGACTCTGTTACCTCAGCATCAAACACTTCACGGTGTTCACCCCAAACCCATATCACGTGTGGAGCGGTGATAAACGGCATGATCTCAATCATCAGTTCCACTTCTGACCTGTTCACATCAAGAGCTTCAATCCCCCAAACCCTGGAGAGACCATGACGCTTTGAACAACAGCTGCTGCTGCTCTCTTCACTTGACTCATCACCATTCATGTTTGTCTTCTTTGTTGTCTCTTCTAAACTAATTAACGTCTTTTCCATTTTATATGGAAGAGAAGAAATGCCTCTCCAGGAAGCTTTTACAATATTAGTAAAATAAAGGTGAGTGTTGTTTTCTTCTTTCATTAAAAAAAACTCGCCAACACTACGCCATGGAAATACATTCAAAAATTCTGATGCTTTCTGTTCTCCTGTTCTACTAACTATAACAGCGTTTAATTGCTGTGCTAAAGTTATTAAATTATTATAACTTTGCTCTGTATCGCTTTCAGAGAAAAATATGTACATAAGTGAAGCGGTAGTTTTAACAAAATTTTCCTTTGCTGCAATATTCAGCTGCTCAGGATTTAAAATGAACAAAACACCTCCCAGATTAGAAAGAAAAGTGGGGAAAAGTTCTGTTCTCGTGTCTGCTGAGCAGTAGAAGAATAACTGTGTACATATAGTTAAAAGATTTTTTTGTGTTTCTGACAAATCTTCGACTGACGGTGCTTGGTTGTCGAAGCTGTACTCTCCGTCTTCCTTCGCCGCCATTCCCAACAGATGAATCAAGATCTCGCGCGCGGCTTCTTCTGACATTTCAGCAGTAAATTTAAAAACTTCATTCAACTTGAAGATCTTTTCAATGGAGTCGACTTTGAAAAGGGAATTGTTTTTACTTTCTTGAGATAACAGTTTTTCTTTTAGAAATAAAGAAGCCAAAAACTCCTGCATGGATTTATGAATGAAGTACACGGCTTTGCACGGGTTAAGAGCGGACATGTTTAGAAGCTGAAACAACCCGACCTCGATCAGTTTCTCAATCAAAACGGGATCCGGCAGTTTACTGAGAGGAAAATAAAGTAAATCTTGTAGAAGTGCGTCAAAGGCTAGTTCTCCTACTTTACAGAGTTCTTTTTTGTGGTCGTCAACTTTTACCGCCGGCTTTTTTTGTTTTTCAGACATATGATTAAACATAGTCTGTAGAAACTGAAAGTACACCTTCACCCGTGATGAAGGTAGTCCTTCACGATCCTTTTCTTTCCAAACTAACAACAACATTAAAAGTAAAATAGGTATTTTTGCTACATCTTGAAGGTCTTGTTGCCACAAGTATTTAAAAAACTCTGCAATATCTTGATCATCTTTCAAGAATCTACGAGCGAACTCTTCTTGTCGCCTGTGGTCAAAACCGTCGATCTCAAATTGAGCATCGCTGGAACTTTTCAATCCCTCTGCTTTCATGTCTCTAGACGTTATAATAACACAACAATCCCTCAGCTGCTTTTTCTCCCAGATTTGAAGGACAGATGATTGGCTTGCTGCGCTGTGTACGTATTCATCGTAGCCGTCCAAAATAAGCAACACTTTTTCTTGGTGGTAACGAACGTAATCATACAGGTTGTCAGTGGAAATTGGGCCATCACTCGCAAGAAGATTAGCAGCGCTAAGAATGGCTGGGACATCGTTGAGGTTACAAACATCGCGTAATTTGACCAAAAGTACGAGATCAAATCTTCCTAACTTTCCTTCAAATCTGTGCTGGGACCAGTCGAATGTAGCTTTCTGCGTAAAAACGGTCTTGCCGATACCTGGTCGTCCGTGAACCAAAATGCGCTTGGGCGTGTGATTAGGTCTTCCGCCGTCAAAAATGTCGGTATAGTGTTCAATTTCCGTCTGTGTTACTCCGCTGGGCTTCTTCTCATCCATAAGCCAAGACAACTGGGTGTAAATTTCATCGATATGAACGGCAGAGCTTTGGTCCCACGGAACGATTTTGACTTTGCTGTTGGTTTCATAAATTGATCGCAGCTGTTTCTGGCACTCCTCGAGGCAGACAGAATCTGTCAAAGAAAATTTTACGTTCCCTTTTTTAAAGAATTGTTCGTTAATAACTTGATACCTTAATAGGCGAGGAAAGTTAAAGGGAGGTAGTTGACGCACAAAATATAGGCCCTCATTTATATAAACTGATCAGATCACCAAATACAAATAAAATTTCCATATTTTAAAACAACTTGAATTATCCTCAACTCATGATACACCAACAAAAATGTAAGTAACAGTGCATGTAGGTATCAGGGCTCTAAAACACCAGAATATAGGGTAGGAATATAAATACGACGGTCAAACGTAGAAGGAATGCTCTTTATTAATTTAATTTATTAATTCAGTTATCTATTCTATTTTCTTCTTTTCCACCTGCTTACACACTGACTTTAATTGGATGGGGAGCTAACTAGAAAATCTAACCGTTTATTTAGCTTCCCAGCTCGCACTTATAATTTCTCCCATATTATAAAGTTATAACCTAGCACAAATTTCAGTTATAAAAAAGTTAAAAATGTAATTTGCCCATAAGCTAAAGAAAGAATTATTAATTATTACAACTACAAATTATGAATATGGGGGGATGGGCAGCCTTGGCCGAGTAACATTTATATCTAAATGTCTTTGAAGACTGCAAACAAAATAGAAAAGAAATTGAAGTGAGACATTTAACCCGCCTCAAACTATACGGTGGACAATTTTAAAGTTAAAAAATTTATTCTGACTTTTATAAATCCGTACTTATTTTTTTTTAATATCATTGTAGATTGGATTCCCTTTTTTACCAATGTATTCACTTCCGTTTTTAACATCTCTCAATTTTTCAATCTTCAGAATTTTTAAGAACCTTTTATTATAAAAACCATTTATAAATAGGCTTTTTATCATGATTAATGTAATTTTATTGTTATCAATGTTTTTTTTAGAGGGCCACTAGGGAGGGAGAAAACTGGAATTCTTAAGATCTTTTATTATAATTACTATTTGTAAATACGTTTTTTATCGTGATTGTTGTAATTTATTATTATCAATTTTTGTTTTTAGAGGGCCACTAGGGAGAATACTTCATAGTAATAGGTGTCACCCTCTTAAAATAAAGGTTATTATTATTATTATTATTATTATTATTATTATTATTATTATTAAAACATGGGTTATTCAAAAGTATAATTGGGGAAAATGTTTATCAATCTGTCAGTTTTTTTACTACTCACATTTTAATTTCTGGGACTGAATAATAAAGTTTCAATAACAAAAAGCACTGAGCAGCTTGTCTTGGGACTGAAAGCTTACATCTTAGCTTTTACTGAATTGTGGGTGATACTGACTTTTAATTCACTAAATGATGTCTGGTTGCAGTGTGCACAATTTTAGACAATAAATTTATGTTTTAAACTTGGTTATGCAGGATTTCAGCTGTACACTGAGTTGATTCTGAAAGGGATCTAAGTAAGCAGTAGCAGCTTAAAAACATTTTCAAAACAGGAAAAAAAAAGCAAAATATTTCCTGGGCCTTTCCAACCAATCAGAGGGCAGAGTTCTAGAAAGATCTTAAACCAGAACATAAAGCCAGTAGAGCAGAGAGCTTACTGGTTAGAGTTCAAGGCTGTCACTGTGGTTTCAAGTTTCAGAGCAGGGAATAGAACATCCTGGAAATTCTTTCTATTTTCCTTTTATTTCCTATGAATAAAGTAACCAGGGGTCATGCTCATAGCAGCCAGGGGAAATCCACGCCTCCCGGCCCTTAGTGACAGCCCTGTAAAGTTGGTCACTAGTATCGTCAGGGCATGGTGAGGGGAGCGGGGGCAGGGTAGAGAAGGATATACTACCCTATTAAACAACTATGGTGCTAGTTAAATAGAAATTCCAAAGTATCCCCAGAAGGTATCAGAATCTTAGTTTGTCAGCATGGAAGAAATTCAGTTTTTTAAGATCCATAAGAGGTACCAAAAAGAGGAGGACATAGTTCCCTGCTGTGAACCTTGAAGAATTAATAGATAGAAGACAAAGTTTAGTAACTGGTTACTGTCAGGGAGCTGTTGTGATTCTCATATACAATGAATTAGTAATCTCTTATTCACCTGTATCAAAACTTGTGCTTGGGCCAGCTTGCTCAACCCTTCCAGATATAGATGGACCTTGAAATACAACAAGAAATAATTAGTCATTTCACCAGTGTCTTGTTCACAACTTATGTTGTTAAATGAATTGTTTTTTTGAACTGGATCAAATTCTTTTCGTCTTGCTGTAGGAGATTCATGAATCTTTTAATAAATCTTCAAAATAAACCATTTTTTGAATTTTCCTCAGCTGTTTGTAATTTTAATATAAGTTAACAATGAGTACCAGCATCTTTATACCAATGACAAAATGTGTACATGACATACCATACCATGGTTGCACTCATGAAACAAACTCAAGTTCAAGTTCAAGTTTAGTGTTTACTGGCAACATTATAAACAGCAGCTGGAACTTGAGTTGCAGGGACCACTTTCCCTGCTCTTTATGAACTAACAATGTGTGGTTATTTAATGTCTTACAGAATGTTTATATACAGGTATGATGGTTATTATGATTTACAATTATATATTGTCCTTAATGGCCGGAAGACTAGAAAGTCTAACCATTTGCAGCTGTCATAAAAAAGATAGCACCTTCTTCACAGTTACGTATATTTAGCTTCACAGCTCGCACTTATTATTTCTCTTGTATTAAAAAGTTATAACCTAGCACAAATTTCAGTTATAAAAAAGTTAAAAATGTAATTTCACCGTGAGCTAAATAAATAACCATTAATTATTACAATTACAAATTATGAATATGGCAGAATGGGCAGCCTTGGCCGAGTAACATTTATTAATGTAAATGCCTTTGAAGACTGCATCAGTAAAGCAAGTGAAAGGGGCGTTACCCCACAAAGAGAGGTTCAGGGAGGAGACACCAATAGAGGGCTACCTCTCCAAAACCGTTAGTGATGTTTGTGATTGAGTGCTTAAAATAATTCTTTTTTTTCAATAACTGGCCTAGCCTAGAGGATTAACACAGGTTAAAAATACCTCAGCAAAATTCTAACAGAAAAATTGAATGAGAAAAAAGAATTTGATGCTTGAAGTATCACATCATACTTCTTCTTTGCTACTTATTTCGGAAATAAATATAAACAACTGCGACAATAAAGATCATTTTGTATTGCAATATAACAAACGATAAAAGTCATTTTGATATGAAAGTAAGCGTTTTTAATCTACTGTATGTCTGGTACCATTTCTGCTTTATTGGATATAATAGTACCTGGTAACTCCTCCTTAGTGGCCATAGAGCAAGAGGGCTGTTTCCCTGCTGACAGGTCTGTGAGTTAAACAAAATAGAATAAAAATTGAAGTGAGACATTTAAAACAACAGTTATTCAAAAGTATAAATCTACTGTATGTCTGGTACCATTTCTGCTTCATTGGACATAATAGTACCTGGTAACTCCTCCTTAGTGGCCGTAGAGCTAGAGGGCTGTTTCTCTGCTGACAGGTCTGTGAGTTAAACAAAAATAATAGAATAAAAATTGAAGTGAGACATTTAAAACAACANGTCATCCGGGTTTGTTTGGGAAAGGCTGTGGTGAAGCGTTAAAGGTTGAGTTGGGAGGGCGTTGGGGGGGGCCTTGGAAGGTTGTTTGTAGGGGTGGTGGGGGGTGGGGGGGGGGGGGGGGGGGGGGGGGGGGGGGGGAGGAGAAACTTCCCTATTAAACAACTGAAGTGCTAGTCAAATAAAAAATGCAAACGTATCCCTAAAAGGTGCCAGAATTTTGCTTTGTCAGCATGGAAGAAATTCATTTTAAGCTCTATAAGAGGTATCAAAAAAAGGAGGAGATACTTCCCTGCTGTGAACCTTGAAGAATTAATAGATAGAAGACCTGCTTACACACTTACTTTAATTGGATGGGGAGCTAACTAGAAAATCTAACAGTATATTTAGCTTTCCAGCTCGCACTTATTATTTCTCTTATATTATAAAGTTATAACCTAGCACAAATTTCAGTTATAAAAAAGTTAAAAATGTGATTTCACCGAGAGCTAAATAAAGAATCATTAATTATTACAATCACAAATTATGAATATGGCAGGATGGCCGCCTTGGCCAAGTAACATTTATATGTAAATGTCTTTGAAGACTGCATCAGTAAAGCAAGTGTAAAGGGGTGTTACCCCACAAAGAGAGGTTCAGGGAGGACACGCCCATAGAGGGGTACCTGTCCAAAGCCATTAGTGACATTTGTGGTTGAGTGCTTAAAATAATTCTTATTTTTTTCTAAATGGCCTTCGAGGATTAACGTAGGTTAAAAATACCTTAGCAAAATTCTAAAAGAAAAATTGAATGAGAAAATGGTACCATTTCTACTTTATTGGATATAATAGTACCTGGTGACACCTCCTTAGTGGCCGCAGAGCTAGAGGGCTCTTTCCCTGCTGACAGGTCTGTGAGTTAAACAAAATAGAAAAGAAATTGAAGTGAGACATTTAAAACCTGGGTTATTCAAAAGCATTTGGGCAAAATGTTTATCAATCTGTCAGTTTTTTTACTACTCACATTTTAATTTCTGGGACTGAATAATAAAGTTTCAATAACAAAAAGCACTGAGCAGCTTGTCTTGGGACTGAAAGCTTACATCTTAGCTTTTACTGAATTGTGGGTGATACTGACTTTTAATTCACTAAATGATGTCTGGTTGCAGTGTGCACAATTTTAGACAATAAATTTATGTTTTAAACTTGGTTATGCAGGATTTCAGCTGTACACTGAGTTGATTCTGAAAGGGATCTAAGTAAGCAGTAGCAGCTTAAAAACATTTTCAAAACAGGAAAAAAAAAGCAAAATATTTCCTGGGCCTTTCCAACCAATCAGAGGGCAGAGTTCTAGAAAGATCTTAAACCAGAACATAAAGCCAGTAGAGCAGAGAGCTTACTGGTTAGAGTTCAAGGCTGTCACTGTGGTTTCAAGTTTCAGAGCAGGGAATAGAACATCCTGGAAATTCTTTCTATTTTCCTTTTATTTCCTATGAATAAAGTAACCAGGGGTCATGCTCATAGCAGCCAGGGGAAATCCACGCCTCCCGGCCCTTAGTGACAGCCCTGTAAAGTTGGTCACTAGTATCGTCAGGGCATGGTGAGGGGAGCGGGGGCAGGGTAGAGAAGGATATACTACCCTATTAAACAACTATGGTGCTAGTTAAATAGAAATTCCAAAGTATCCCCAGAAGGTATCAGAATCTTAGTTTGTCAGCATGGAAGAAATTCAGTTTTTTAAGATCCATAAGAGGTACCAAAAAGAGGAGGACATAGTTCCCTGCTGTGAACCTTGAAGAATTAATAGATAGAAGACAAAGTTTAGTAACTGGTTACTGTCAGGGAGCTGTTGTGATTCTCATATACAATGAATTAGTAATCTCTTATTCACCTGTATCAAAACTTGTGCTTGGGCCAGCTTGCTCAACCCTTCCAGATATAGATGGACCTTGAAATACAACAAGAAATAATTAGTCATTTCACCAGTGTCTTGTTCACAACTTATGTTGTTAAATGAATTGTTTTTTTGAACTGGATCAAATTCTTTTCGTCTTGCTGTAGGAGATTCATGAATCTTTTAATAAATCTTCAAAATAAACCATTTTTTGAATTTTCCTCAGCTGTTTGTAATTTTAATATAAGTTAACAATGAGTACCAGCATCTTTATACCAATGACAAAATGTGTACATGACATACCATACCATGGTTGCACTCATGAAACAAACTCAAGTTCAAGTTCAAGTTTAGTGTTTACTGGCAACATTATAAACAGCAGCTGGAACTTGAGTTGCAGGGACCACTTTCCCTGCTCTTTATGAACTAACAATGTGTGGTTATTTAATGTCTTACAGAATGTTTATATACAGGTATGATGGTTATTATGATTTACAATTATATATTGTCCTTAATGGCCGGAAGACTAGAAAGTCTAACCATTTGCAGCTGTCATAAAAAAGATAGCACCTTCTTCACAGTTACGTATATTTAGCTTCACAGCTCGCACTTATTATTTCTCTTGTATTAAAAAGTTATAACCTAGCACAAATTTCAGTTATAAAAAAGTTAAAAATGTAATTTCACCGTGAGCTAAATAAATAACCATTAATTATTACAATTACAAATTATGAATATGGCAGAATGGGCAGCCTTGGCCGAGTAACATTTATTAATGTAAATGCCTTTGAAGACTGCATCAGTAAAGCAAGTGAAAGGGGCGTTACCCCACAAAGAGAGGTTCAGGGAGGAGACACCAATAGAGGGCTACCTCTCCAAAACCGTTAGTGATGTTTGTGATTGAGTGCTTAAAATAATTCTTTTTTTTCAATAACTGGCCTAGCCTAGAGGATTAACACAGGTTAAAAATACCTCAGCAAAATTCTAACAGAAAAATTGAATGAGAAAAAAGAATTTGATGCTTGAAGTATCACATCATACTTCTTCTTTGCTACTTATTTCGGAAATAAATATAAACAACTGCGACAATAAAGATCATTTTGTATTGCAATATAACAAACGATAAAAGTCATTTTGATATGAAAGTAAGCGTTTTTAATCTACTGTATGTCTGGTACCATTTCTGCTTTATTGGATATAATAGTACCTGGTAACTCCTCCTTAGTGGCCATAGAGCAAGAGGGCTGTTTCCCTGCTGACAGGTCTGTGAGTTAAACAAAATAGAATAAAAATTGAAGTGAGACATTTAAAACAACAGTTATTCAAAAGTATAAATCTACTGTATGTCTGGTACCATTTCTGCTTCATTGGACATAATAGTACCTGGTAACTCCTCCTTAGTGGCCGTAGAGCTAGAGGGCTGTTTCTCTGCTGACAGGTCTGTGAGTTAAACAAAAATAATAGAATAAAAATTGAAGTGAGACATTTAAAACAACAGTTATTCAAAAGTATTTGGGGATGTTCATCAATCTGTCAGTTCTTTTACTACACACATTTTAGTTTCTGGGTCTGAATAATAACATTTCAATAACAAAAAGCACTGAGCAGCTTCTCTTGGGACTGGAAGCTTACATGGGTGATACTGACATTTAATTCACTAAATGATGTCTGGTCGCAGTTTGTGTTTCAAACTTGGTTATGCAGGATTTCTGCTGCATACCGAGTTGATTCTGAAAGGCATCTGGTAAGCAGTTGCAGTTCAAGTTGCAGGCCCTTAGTGATGGCCCTGTAAAGTTGTTTGCTAGTGTCATCAGGGCTTGGTGGGAGTTGGGGGGGGGAGGGGGTGGGGGGAGGAGAAACTTCCCTATTAAACAACTGAAGTGCTAGTCAAATAAAAAATGCAAACGTATCCCTAAAAGGTGCCAGAATTTTGCTTTGTCAGCATGGAAGAAATTCATTTTAAGCTCTATAAGAGGTATCAAAAAAAGGAGGAGATACTTCCCTGCTGTGAACCTTGAAGAATTAATAGATAGAAGACCTGCTTACACACTTACTTTAATTGGATGGGGAGCTAACTAGAAAATCTAACAGTATATTTAGCTTTCCAGCTCGCACTTATTATTTCTCTTATATTATAAAGTTATAACCTAGCACAAATTTCAGTTATAAAAAAGTTAAAAATGTGATTTCACCGAGAGCTAAATAAAGAATCATTAATTATTACAATCACAAATTATGAATATGGCAGGATGGCCGCCTTGGCCAAGTAACATTTATATGTAAATGTCTTTGAAGACTGCATCAGTAAAGCAAGTGTAAAGGGGTGTTACCCCACAAAGAGAGGTTCAGGGAGGACACGCCCATAGAGGGGTACCTGTCCAAAGCCATTAGTGACATTTGTGGTTGAGTGCTTAAAATAATTCTTATTTTTTTCTAAATGGCCTTCGAGGATTAACGTAGGTTAAAAATACCTTAGCAAAATTCTAAAAGAAAAATTGAATGAGAAAATGGTACCATTTCTACTTTATTGGATATAATAGTACCTGGTGACACCTCCTTAGTGGCCGCAGAGCTAGAGGGCTCTTTCCCTGCTGACAGGTCTGTGAGTTAAACAAAATAGAAAAGAAATTGAAGTGAGACATTTAAAACCTGGGTTATTCAAAAGCATTTGGGCAAAATGTTTATCAATCTGTCAGTTTTTTTACTACTCACATTTTAATTTCTGGGACTGAATAATAAAGTTTCAATAACAAAAAGCACTGAGCAGCTTGTCTTGGGACTGAAAGCTTACATCTTAGCTTTTACTGAATTGTGGGTGATACTGACATTTGAATTCACTAAATGATGTCTGGTTCCAGTGTGCACAATTTTAGACAGTAAATTTATGTTTTAAACTTGGTTATGCAGGATTTCAGCTGCACACTGAGTTGATTCTGTAAGGGATCTAGTAAGCCCTTGCAGTTCAAAAACATTTTAAAACAGGAAAAAAAATCCAAAATATTTCCTGGGCCTTTCCAACCAGTCAGAGGGTAGAGTTCTAGAATGATCTAAAGCCATAACATAAAGCCAGTAGTGCAGAGAGCTTACTGGTTAGAGTTCAAGGCTGTCACTATGGTTTCAAGTTTCAGAGGAGGGAATAGAACATCCTAGAAATTCTTTCGGTCCTATTTTCCTTTTATTTCCTATGAATAAAGTAACCAGCGGTCATGCTCATAGCAGCCAGGGGAAATCCACACCTCCCGGCCCTAAGTGCGTAGTTACTAAAACAAGGAATGACCTGCAATGATCTACAATGACCTACAATGACCTACAATGATCTACAATGACCTACAATGATCTACAACGACCTACAATGAGCTACTATGACCGAACATGTAATCCCTGTAATGAGCTAAAATGAAGATTTTAGAAAAACATAAAAAAAAATTATCAGGGAACATGTGTGCGTAAAATTTTATGTTTTTCTAAAATCTTCATTTTAGCTCATTACAGGGATTACATGTTCGGTCATAGTAGCTCATTGTAGGTCATTTTTAAGATCTATAAGAGGTACCAAAAAGAGGAGGAGATACTTCCCTGCTGTGAACCTTGAAGAATTAATAGATAGAAGACAAAGTTTAGTAGCTGGTTACTGTCAGGGAGCTGTTGTCATTCTCATATGCAATGAATTAGTAATCTCTTATTCACCTGTAACAGAACTTGTGCTTGGGCCAGCTTGATCAACCCTTCCAGATGGACCTTGAAATACAACAACAAATAATTCGTCATTTCACCAGTGTCTTGTTCACAACTATGTTGTTAAATGAATTGCTTTTTTGGAGACAATGAACTGGAACAATGCTTTTTGTCTTGCTGTAGGAGATTCATGAATCTTTTAATAAATCTTCAAAATAAACCATTTTTGAATTTTCCTCAGCTGTTTGTAATTTTAATATAATTTAACAATGAGTACCGGGATCTTTATACCAGTGACAAAATGTGTACATGACATACCATATCATGGTTGCACTCATGAAACAAACTCAAGTTCAAGCTCAAGTTTAGTGTTTACTGGCGACATTATAAACAGCAGGAACTTGAGTTGCAGGGACCACGTCCCCTGCTCTTTATGAACTAACAGTGTGTGGGTTCTTTAATGTCTCACGGAATTTTTATATACATGTATGATGGTTATTATGATTTACAAGTATTAATTGTCCTTAATGGCCAGAAGACTAGAAAGTCTAAGCATTTGCAGCTGTCATAAAAAAGGCAGCAGTTTCTTCACAGTTACGTATATTTAGCTTCCCAGCTCACACTTATTATTTCTCTTATATTATAAAGTTATAACCTAGCACAAAATTTCAATTATAAAAAAGTTAAAATGTAATTTCACCATGAGCTAAATAAAGAATCATTAATTATCACAATTACAAATTATGAATATGGTCGAGTAACATTTATATGTAAATGTCTTTGAAGACTGCATCAGTAAAGCAAATGAAAGGGGCGTTACCCCACAAAGAGAGGTTCAGGGCGGAGACACCAATAGAGGGCTAGCTGTCCAAAGCCGTTAGTGACATTTGTAGTTGAGTGCTAAAAATAATTCTTATTTTTTATAACTGGCCTTGAGGATTAATGCAAGTTAAAAATACCTCAGCAAAATTCTAACAGAAAAATTGAATGAGAAAAAGAATTTGGTGCTTGAAGTATCAATTCATACTTCTTTGCTACTTATTTCTGAAATAAATATAAACAACTGTGACAATAAAGATCATTTTGTATTGCAATATAGCAAACGATAAAAGTCATTTTCATATTCAAGCAAGCGTTTTTAATCTACTGTATGTCTGGTACCATTTCTGCTTTATTGATATAATATATAGTACCTGGTGACTCCTCCTTAGTGGCCGTAGAGCTAGAGGGCTGTTTCCCTGCTGATGGGTCTGTGAGTTAAACAAAATAGAATAAAAATTGAAGCGAGACATTTATCAACAGTTATTCTAAAGTATTTGGGGTCTGTTCATCAATATGTCAGTTTTTTTACTGCTCACATTTTAGTTTCTGGGTCTGAATAATAAAGTTTTTATAACAAAAAGCACTGAGCAGCTTGTCTTGGGACTGAAAGTTTTACTGAATTGTGGGTGATACTGACATTTTAATTCACTACATGATGTCTGGTCGCAGTGTGCACAATTTTAGACAATAAATTTATGTTTTAAACTTGGTTATGCAGGATTTCAGCTGCACACTGAGTTGATTCTGAAAGGGATCTAGTAAGCAGTTGCAGTTCAAAAACATTTTCAAAACAGGAAAAAAAACAAAACAAATCATTTCCTGGGCCTTTCCAACCAATCAGAGGGTAGAGTTCTAGAATGATCTAATACCAGAACATAAAGCCACTAGAGCAGAGAGCTTACTAGTTAGAGTTCAAGGCTGTCACTATGGTTTCAAGTTTCAGAGTAGGGAATGGAAGATCCTGAAAATTCTTTTGGTCCTATTTTCCTTTTATTTTTATTTTCCTATGAATGTAACCAAGGGTCATGCTCATAGCAGCCAGGAGAAATCCACACCTCCCGGCCCTTAGTGACAGCCCTGTAAAGTTGGTCACTAGTGTCCTCAGGGCGTGGTTGGGGAAGGCAGGGGAGAAGGAGATACTACCCTATTAAACAACTGTGGTGCTCATCAAATAAAAAATTCAAAAAGTATCCCCAGAAGGTATCGGAATCTGGTAGTTTCGAAAACGAAGCACTCGAAAACGAAGACCGAAGCACGAAGCACCCAAATCTCGAAAATGAAGCACCCAAATCTCGAAAACGAAGCATCCAAAACTCGAAAACGAAGCACCCTATCTCGAAAACGAAGCACCCAAAAAACTCGACACCGGTCTGTCCTTTATAAACACGAGACCAATGTAAATACAGCAGAAATCAAGCGCGATAACGAGTATTCGATAACGAATCGAATGCCGTTCAACTCTACTCAAGCACCCAAAACTCGAAAACGAAGCACCCAAATCTCGAAAACGAAGCACCCAAAACTCGAAAACGAAGCACCCAAGATCGAAAACGAAGCACCCAAAACTTGAAAACTTGCTGTTACTGTTTTTGTTACTGTTGTTTTTAAAAGGGTCAAGAAAGGAAAATTATGCACAGCTTTTGGCGTCTGTGGTGGGCTTCAGAAATAGGGAGCTTCCAGTTCCATTTTGCCAAAAATAAAAATGCAGAATGTCGGTAGTATAGTTGTACTGATTCTTGTGTGGATGGGATCGGGAATTACAGCAAGTATCCCCGTACAAAATGATGAGCGTTTTCTATTCCATTCCTCGTGAAAGGCCATTTGCAAATTAGTGTAGTTAAGGGTGGATCGGTGGCATAAAAAGCATATCTCCAGGCTTCGCCCCACCGGCCGCCTTCTCAGTAGCTTAACTCTCCTTTTTTTTATTCGCTCCTTTTATTTTAAAATTCTCCTGTTCCCCACCATAGAGCCTGATCCCAGGCTATTACCCTCGAACAAATTCTGCCTGGATCTGATCTGATCTGATCACGCAGTGTCATAAATATCCAATATGGTAGACTGCAAAACAGTCGGGTTTTTTTCCTTCTCAAAATCAGTAAAGAAGTCGGTAAAGCGTGGCGTAAGAGTAATACGCGCGAGCCTCACACTCCGTTTTCAGCCTCATTTCAGGGCCCAGTTGCTCGAAGCATGGTTAGCGTTAACCAGCGTTTAATACCTTGACAACGTATTGGTTTTGATACTGCTTAACCAATGGTTAAAGCTAACCATGCTTTGAGCAACTCAGCCCATAAACTCAGCCCAGACCTTTTGTGTTACTGCTCACGCGCACTTGAATACGCCAAAATCTGCTGACGGACAGTTTTGAAGTCTACATAAACATGCATGTGTACCGAAAAAAAGCATATTAAGGTAAGATGTATCAAGTATAGCGAGACCAATAATAAAATTAATACATTATATCCCATCTAGAAACGTTCAGTTAAACAGTTGGCAGGCTCTTATAAAACCTTGGGATGGATTTTGTGGACCTTTGGAGGTGCGGACGCATCCGCTGCCTCCACCTGATTCGGATTGCGTCATGCAAGACGTACAGCCTACAGTGGTTTCGAGTTTTGGGTGCTTCGTTTTCGAGTTTTGGGTGCTTCGTTTTTGAGATTTTGGGGTCTTCGTTTTCGATTTAGGGTGCTTCGTTTTCGAGATTTGGGTGCTTCGTTTTCGAGTTTTGGGTGCTTCGTTTTCGAGATTTGGGTGCTTCGTGCTTCGGTCTTCGTTTTCGAGTGCTTCGTTTTCGAAACTACCATCGGAATCTTGCTTTGTAAGCATGGAAGAAATTCATTTTTTTAAGATCTATAAGAGGTACCAAAAAGAGGAGGAGATACTTCCCTGCTGTGAACCTTGAAGAATTAATAGATAGAAGACAAAGTTTAGTAGCTGGTTACTGTCAGGGAGCTGTTGTGATTCTCATATACAATGAATTAGTAATCTCTTATTCACCTGTAACAGAACTTGTGCTTGGGCCAGCTTGCTCAACCCTTCCAGATGGACCTTGAAATACAACAACAAATAATTCGTCATTTCACCAGTGTCTTGTTCACAACTTATGTGTTAAATGAATTGCTTTTTTGGAGACAATGAACTGGATCAAATGCTTTTTGTCTTGCTGTAGGAGATTCATGAATCTTTAAATAAATCTTCAAAATAAACCATTTTTTGAATTTTTCTCAGCTGAACTAACAGTGTGTGGGTTCTTTAATGTGTCACGGAATGTTTATATACATGTATGATGGTTATTATGATTTACAAGTATTGTCCTTGATGGCCAGAAGACTAGAAAGTCTAGCCGTTTGCAGCTGTCATAAAAAAGGTAGCACTTTCTTCACAGTTACGTTTATTTAAAGATCCTGATCTTACAGCTGTACAACCTGTAGCTCGACAGATCAATTTCACAATTGAGCTACAGAGTAACTGGGCAGTGGATCAGCTCCCCTAAGCCAAGCAGAAAGAAACACTCCACCTCAGAATTCCAAAGACCCACCGAAAGACCGTTGTAGGTATTAACTACTTGGAATTGTTCTTAATCTCCAAAAATATCTACAAGAAACATGAATGTCAACATATTATTTTACAACTTTCTTTACCTTGGTTTTTTGGTTTCCCAGATGGTTTCTGGAAGGGCTTTGCAGCACTTCTTTTCACCTGTTTCCAAAGAGTATCTCCTTTCTTCTTAGATCCATCTTTATCCATTCTACAATTAGACTAAGATTAAAATTTATGCATTAGAAAATAGTAGTTTAGTGAGGCCAACTGATACACTTCTCCATGCTGCTCACTAAGTTTATTTTAAAAATTTCCAATATTTTGCTGTTCCCTAAAACGAGTATCTCAACTTCATTTTAAATGTCAGCAAACTAGCTGTCGTGGTCCAAAATCTCCAAATTATAACTTTCCCTGCCAGCAAATCACCAGGATACTTTTGAGGACTTCAGTAACACAAGAAAGCCTTTCCTTCTACTTGTATAACACATCACATAAGGTTCCATTCATTAGGTATATTGCAGGGCAGGGGGGGGGTGGGGGGGGCAGAGGATATTTTTTAAAAGGGCAAAATTTTTTAAGATCGGGCCCCCAATTCATAGAGAATTTTCAGACAGCCCCCCTTCTTGACCAAAAGAAAAAATGGCAACCCCCCCCCCAAAACAAGTTTTGACGAGAAAAGTAAAATATAGGCAATTATGGTGAAATGGTGGACAGATTAATGTTTAAATAGAAAACTTAAAACAAAAGGTAACCAAAGGTTCACCGATTTTTGTGAAATAAAAATACAGTCGACTCTCTATAACTTGAACCTTGCACTAACTGGAACCAAAATCGATTTCCCCTGGATTTCCCTCATACATTCACTGTAATTTTACCCTTGGTAACTCATAACCCTCGATAACTCGAACTCTCGATAACTTGAACTCCCGCTAACTCGAACCAATTTTCGTTTCCCCTCAGGTCATTTTCTATATAATTTTACACTTGATAACTCAAACCATGTTTTGAGCCCTTAAAAAGTTGGGAAAAAAGCTGTCTAATGGCATCTGAAACATTGAATTTCCTATTGACATGTTGTAGGAGTATAGTTTACTAGTGGAGGCTGATGTTAATTGTCACAGGCTAACGTGAAGCAGCTTAATTTTCTTCTCAAAACAGTAAAACACATGCTCTATTTAGGCTATGTTTTGTTACGTTACATTCTGATTTATAATCTAAAAGTATCTTTTAATTTTCACTTGACAATTCTACAATTAAATGTGATTACATGTAAAATGTTCACAGTGCAGTAAAAACTGTGCCATAAAAACTTCACAAAGACAGTTGCAATGTATTTTCAAGCCTTAAATATATATGTACAGTTTAATAACATTCATCAGCTAATGTTAAGCCAGTGAAACGTTTTTCAAGTTCTNGGGGGGGGGGGGGGGGGGGGGGGGGGGGGGGGGGCAGAGGATATTTTTTAAAAGGGCAAAATTTTTTAAGATCGGGCCCCCAATTCATAGAGAATTTTCAGACAGCCCCCCTTCTTGACCAAAAGAAAAAATGGCAACCCCCCCCCCAAAACAAGTTTTGACGAGAAAAGTAAAATATAGGCAATTATGGTGAAATGGTGGACAGATTAATGTTTAAATAGAAAACTTAAAACAAAAGGTAACCAAAGGTTCACCGATTTTTGTGAAATAAAAATACAGTCGACTCTCTATAACTTGAACCTTGCACTAACTGGAACCAAAATCGATTTCCCCTGGATTTCCCTCATACATTCACTGTAATTTTACCCTTGGTAACTCATAACCCTCGATAACTCGAACTCTCGATAACTTGAACTCCCGCTAACTCGAACCAATTTTCGTTTCCCCTCAGGTCATTTTCTATATAATTTTACACTTGATAACTCAAACCATGTTTTGAGCCCTTAAAAAGTTGGGAAAAAAGCTGTCTAATGGCATCTGAAACATTGAATTTCCTATTGACATGTTGTAGGAGTATAGTTTACTAGTGGAGGCTGATGTTAATTGTCACAGGCTAACGTGAAGCAGCTTAATTTTCTTCTCAAAACAGTAAAACACATGCTCTATTTAGGCTATGTTTTGTTACGTTACATTCTGATTTATAATCTAAAAGTATCTTTTAATTTTCACTTGACAATTCTACAATTAAATGTGATTACATGTAAAATGTTCACAGTGCAGTAAAAACTGTGCCATAAAAACTTCACAAAGACAGTTGCAATGTATTTTCAAGCCTTAAATATATATGTACAGTTTAATAACATTCATCAGCTAATGTTAAGCCAGTGAAACGTTTTTCAAGTTCTGTATGCTGTTTGTGCCATCAAGCACTTCAAGACATTCCAATGTGAACTTTTTTGCATAAGAATACTAATTATAAAATAATTTGTATGGCTGTTATGTTAGTTTATAGAGCTCTAGTTCAGTCCATTCATTAGTCTTGATTTCAGTGGCTACTGCCAAACACAGAAATAATGGCAATTTTCCAGTTAAAGAAAGATTGAACTTTTCATTGAAATTTTGTAGTTGTTGTTGACTCGAAAGCAATTACAGCTTTACAATAAAACCACTTAAATGTTATATTAATAGTTAAAGTCCTATAAAGAGTGTATTTATCAAGTAAATAAGCTAGCAAACTTTCTTTAAGCATAGAGTAATTAAGGTAGTCTTCTTTTATAAAAAAAATCCACAAAACAATGCTTCCTAATTTTAATAAATGGGGAAAAACAAATTAACAACCCCCGTTTCTTCTGTCAAAAATTTCGGAAAACCCCCCTTGTCCCTTGCCAAAAAATTTGATTTCCCCCCAAAAAAAATCCTCTCCCTCTTCCTCCCCCTGTGGTATACATAATAAATGCAGCTTAAAAGAGGATTCAGACTGTAGAGGAATACCATTATAGACTAGTATTGTAAGGGAGTACCTTTGTTCAGTAAAATGAAATTCTGTCAGTCCTTCACTCTAAGGCATGCCCACTGTCTCGGTTAACCAGTTTAACTGAAATAAATGGCAAAAAGTAATACTTTAAGACAAAAACAGAAATGAAGTCAAGATAGTATTCCAGAGAGTTCCATACATTTTATTGTGTATAAAATGTTTTGACACTATTCATAAATTACTGTTTTAGTAAAATTAAGTATGAGATAGTTAAATGCATATAAATGTAAGGAGTTATGTATGGAAGTCTTACCCAAATGAATTTGTCAAGACACTGGTTAGAGGATTGCTGATGTATTAAATGACAGATGTCTGTCATGAATTTATAGAGGGTAACTTAGGGGAGCAGAGATTTAATTGGTTAGTAAGAGAGAAAAATGTGTTTATCATACTGCTGATAAAAAGCCAATTCTTTAGTCTCAAGACAACAGTTTTTGCTTTGTAATTTCATCTCTAACTGAACATGATAACTCTCCTGAAAATGAAAGGCTGGTTTATAACTGTACAAGTGATGCAAATGTAAATGCAAGTACAGTGAGATATGCATGTGCAGTATCCTGTATCATAACTTCATTGATTAGGGTCAGGAAACTGCATGAGTTAATCAAGTTCCATTTAAATCATTACACCAGACAAACTGACCTGAATGTTGATTAACTCAGTTTCCTAACCCTAATCAATAAAGTTCAGAGTCATTTTGGTGGGGGATCTTAGGGGTCTTTGTTTTCAACGACACCTTTGAATTGCGAGAAAAACAAAGTCACAGAGGCTATTAGAAGAGCCAAGAAGAATTTCTTCTACGAATCTTTCAGAGAAAACCGTGATGACTCTAATAAGATTTGGTTTGCCCTTAAGGATCTAACTGGCCAGAAAAATCATGGGGGTGTGTCCTATTTGGAGGAGAACAGGTCAATCTACAAATACGCGATGAAACTGCAATGGCAGCAACATTAAATGGGGCCAATAATTCACATTAATTAACCGTAGAAAGAGAAAGAATATAGGCTGCTAAAGAAAGACTTAGAATGAACATTTATAGACTCATAGTAAGCAAAAACAGCTGCGTTTACTGAGGTCAAGAAGCTTACCTAACGTTGATTCAGTGTAGACTATTGTTCAGTTATGAAGAAGCTTCAGAAGTCTGGAATAAATAATAACCACATTGATCAACCTTTATAGATGAAGCATTACCTATTATCATTCCCTTTTGAATGCAATTAAACTAAGCAACTGAAAAAAAGAAGCTAACTGACCTCGCAATTCGTTGCTAAGAAGAAGCTGCCAGAAAAATTGTCACATGTACTTTCACTCTTAAGTCCCAGTATTTTGCTCGGTCGATCTGCAAAAAAATTGGAATGTCGATAAAGGAAAACTAAATGAGGAAATTGGATCGAATTATGTCAATCATCGGGAGAAGCGATAAATAGGTCAGTACAATTTTTATGGTATCAATAAGAGCAGTATCGAAGGTATAACTTGTTATCTAAATATTATATGACTCAATATTTGAGCCTTCCGTAAAATTTAGCTCTATTGCCGGACGATTTTATGGATCATGTGTGGATTGAAAAGCACTGAATGCGTCATGTTGATTCTTTAGATGATTCTCTTCTCTTAAGCTGCTCATAAAATGGGTAAGTTAACCTTTCCGATCAAAAATCTACAGCTAAGGTAAAATGTTGATAAGTACAAACCTCTTGACTTTCCAGGAGCAAATGTCTAATGTAGAGAAAAAAAAGGACAGAAGAACTGATAAGTAAAGATAAGTAAGGTCTCGGGGGGTATTGTCATATATGAGCTGAATTTTATTAGGAAAATACTCAGTTTATCATTTTTTTATGCATAGATCGCACAAATTCGCAACGAGGGATTATATAAATAGTCTCTCCTGAGTTCCTCAGGAAATAGTACTAACTCAGTTCATGTAGCTAAACGGCTTCAACAAGCTCCAACAGTGGCTCAGTGAGAATGAATCCTACTTTAATTCACACTTCCTTGTCGAAAAACAGGAAAAAAAAGATTGACCAATCACCATGATTGGAAGATAAACAGCAGAACTTTGTGTTTAGCGACAACTGTAAAAACGCATTAATCTACCAAGAATGAGTCCAGAATCACGCGATCTAAATTTGCAAAATAAGGGACGAAAAAGTGACAATATGTTTTAGTTAAAAGATATTGCAGCTTTGTTGATTTGCACTTAAAACGAGAACGAAGTCTGTTAAAGACTGAGAAAATTATTTAAGACTTCTTGAAAG